CCCCAAAACCCCAAAACCCCAAAACCCCAACTAAAATGATTAAAATTGGATAAAATTAAAAATGAACAGTCTGGAGATCTCTTCATTAACTCAAAAATCTTCCCAAGGTTCATCCAAGAATCTTTGAATCGGTAATTATGCTTCCTAAAGTTCACTAGGAGTTGTAGAATTAATCATTTCAAGAAGCTTTTGTAAAAATTGACCCAAATAGTTTGAATGAACTAATCTAGTGATATAGGGATGTTTCTGGCTTGTTTAGCACTAATTGGAGGGTCCTCAGCGATTCCTTTCATTAATTATTATGATGAAACTCCTACAGTTTTGAGACTCATGTGGAGGAACCAGATAGCAAGTCTATATGGAGTCCCTTTTAGTGTATATTTCTTATACCAGGTTTGGGATACCATAAAATGGTCATCTGTTCTGAGTTGGGGAATGCTGGGAGAAGCCCTCGCTTGTTCATTTATTAGGACTTTCGCTTCTATTCTATATGTATGGAGTTCTTCTTTCACGATAGTGTCTCATGCAGTGTATCTTGCAAATCTGAGTGGAGTGTTTTTGGTCTGAGTCAGCCTTGTTAGAGGCAAATCCACTCACAGGTTTGAAATTGTTGGAAGTGTGATAGTTGTAGCAGCAGTGCTGGTCTTGATCAATGATTCTAGCTCTAGTAAGGTTGGAGAAGATTCTGGTAAAGGTAGTATTGTTATCGGTGACCTGTTGGCTCTAGCAACTACTCCAATGTGGGCAGCATTTTTTATTTTGAATTCATACCTAGTTAAGAGACTTCCCTCTATGGTGTGTTTTCAAATCACTACTTTTATACAGATGTTAATGCAGATTGCTGTATATTTTTGGTATTTTGGTACAGGTGGATTTGTAAGCTTTGATGAAAAGAGAGGAATGTTTGGATGGGCTTCCAATGAGAATATAGTGTGGTCCTTATTAGTATTTGGCCCGGTAACATGAATCTTTGGATCAGGCGGATACTATTTTACAGCTAGTTATTTTCCTCCTCATATTATTGGTACTATCTTCCTTCTTGAGCCAGTGCTTGGTCAAATATTTGGAATTCTTCTCAGCCAAGATCATTACCCTCAAATCCTGACTTACATCGGAGGAATTGGAATTTTTATAGGAGTAGGCCTCACCATCAGAGGAGACCTTCTTAAATCTAATGAATCCCAGACTAATATTATTCCTGAAGAGCCCGTTGATTCTATTCATAATCATAGCCTGCTTTCTTAAACATTTAATTATTTCAAAACTATTTAACACAAGAGGGGTTTTGGGGTTTTGGGGTTTTGGGGTTTTGGG